TCTCTAATTTTGTTTATAACTTTATATTTTTTCTAATTAAATTTCGTTCTCTTTCAGAATCTTATTAATAATGAATACACCAGAAAGCATCTTTGTTGAGCCTCCTAGCTTTTTTTGCATGGAGTTTCATAAAAAAAACAAAAGTTTATCGCCAAATATCAGCCGTCTTTATTTTTTCGTCCATTCTCCTTTGGGATGATATCGCTTGCTTACTAAAGTTTTTTTTTAGTGCGTCCCATTTCGTGTTTCCATTGTGTCCCTCGTATCTATCACATTGTCCATATATTTTTCTTTCGGGTATGGGTCTCTCGGGAGTTGTTGTATTGCAGTTTCGGTGCTGCGTTAGGCTTCTTCAGTTTCCATAGTTTCAGTCTTAGTTTACATATAACAGGGTGATGGCTGCTCCCGCAGTCGGCACTTGGGTAGGTTTTGCAGGGCAGATTATTCTCATCTCATTTTCCATCTAAGGCTCACCAGTGTTTTCCACCTTTCCTGTTGCCTTCACAGTTTTGACCACTGAACCAGAGGATGTGAATTTTTCAAAAATGCTAAGAATTCAAATGTTATAAACAATACTTTAATCCACTAAGCCATGGATAATACACGGGTGCAATTTGAAAGCCTTACACATAATGCAATTATATGTTTTGACTCAAGTGGTGAATTTTTTTCATCTTTTCTTAATCAGATGCTCCCAAATGGTATCTGTCCCTATGCTAGGTCTACTGAGGAGGTTGTCAATGCCTAACATATGTGCTGATTCTTTCAGCCGTCTTATTTTTTTGTTCTATCGTCTCTTACTGCGTCCCATTTCGAGTTTCCATTGTGTCCCTTGTATCTGCTTTTCACATTGCCCATATATTTTTCTTTCAGGTACGGGTCGCTCAGGAGTTTGCTGTATTGTAATTTGGGTGCTGCATTAGGCTTCTTCAGTTTCTGTAGTTTCAGATTACATATAACAGGGCGATGATCGCTTCTGCAATCGGCACTTGGGTAGGTTTTGCAGTGAACTATTTTATTCCCGAATGTTTGTTGTTTAGCTGAGCTTAACGAACGCATTCAGTAAGAAGTGCAGGAGGAGATAACTGCTGAAATGCTTCAAAATGTGTTTTCGCAACGCCAAGGATAGATTCGAAATTTACAAGAATACATACGGAGCACATGTTGGAAATTTTCACTGAAGTTTTGAAGCCAGATTAATAAATCTATTTGTTTTGTATCGTTATTAATATATATAAAACTTTATCAGTTTTTTTTTTTTTTAATTTGCCCGATTTCATTGAAATAGACGATTAATTCTGGGACCCCCTGTATTTACTATTGATGACGACTTATTTTCATTCCGACCTAAACGTCTGTGTTCCCTTTGGAGACATTCCTGTAAAATGACTCGGTAACTGGAAGCTTCCGATTATTTGCGTTCTCGTCTGTTTTGTAAGCAGCTTGTTTTTTTTTGTTTTTGTTTTTTTTGCTTACGGGTTTGCATATATCTCTCGCTTACTGAGGTGTAAATGATGGAGCACAGTTTAGAAAGACACCATTTTTAGTCTATCGAATGGCACGCAATATAAAAAAAAAGCTGACCTTACCACCACAATGAAGATGAACGAGGAGGAAGCACTATCAGATTCATTCAATTTCTCCTAATTTAAATTTAATTAAACTCGAAATACCCGTGAAAAATTTCAGTTTTCTCATTTTAATTTCCCGATGGATCTTAATTCTTAAGTTAATGACTGAATAAGCTCATGGTTAGTTCTACGACAATAAAATACCCGTAGAAATTCCCCATATTGCATCGTTAAATTTTTGAGCTTAACAACTTTAACAAAATATTGCAAGAGCAATCATAAATATGAATGCTATTGTCCTCATCTTTATCGGCATATTTATTACAACGTTTCGGCCGTTGTACGCTATCGCCTTCTTCAGGTGGTTGGAATGTCGAACTGAACCCTTTATTTCGCTCACTGGGGACACATGGCACAGTGGGTAAAGGCGTTGGTTAGATCCAGTGAAATGACCCAAAGAGTGTGAGTTCAATACCTGGTTAAGGCAGTGGATAACTTTCAGAGAGAAATTAACAGGAGATAACTAATAACTGACATCCATCAAACATGGCACGTGGAACTAGAACAGTCTACCCCAGTGAGCGAAATAAAGGGTTCAGTTCGACATTCCAACCACCTGAAGAAGGCCGGAGCGTACAAATGCTGAAACGTTGTAATAAATATGGCGAAAAAAAGGTGGGGACAATAGTCTGAATAATGTAAATGATTTATACCGCAGCTTTCCAAAGATTAAAATAGTTTAAAACTGGACAAATATAAGAAAATTTTTGTTAGGAAGATATTGAAAACCTACTAAGTTCTTTTTATATGCTAAATTTCATTATTACCCTCTTTTAACACTATATGATAGGCACCAAATAACAGTTTACAACATACCCTTCTTAGTATTTATCAGAAAATCATGATCTAGACCTCTATTCCTATTTTGTTTGAAATACTGAATCACTTTTTGACATTTGGAAATCCGTCAGAAAGAAAATAAAATGGTTGAATGCAAAATTTAATCTCCTTTCTGGAATTATGAGTCTTCAATATAGATCAGTATTTCTAGACATAAAACCCTTCCTTTTTTAATAATAAATATAAAAGTTTGGTTTTAATTACTCTGTTAAGTCCTAATAACTTTCATATAGTTCCAGAATCAAGCTGAAAAGATTTCTAGAATACACAAATGTACATTCCTTTTTTTTTAATTAGAAATGTGAAAGTTTTATTTTAATCATTCTCTTAAGTAAAAATGACATTAATATAGTTCCATAATTGAGCTGAAAATCATTCACGAAAACAGAAAATATCCATTCCTAATTGGAAATGTGAAAATGCCGTTTGAATCTTTCTCTTCAGTAGAAAAAAACACTGATACAGTTCCACAGTCGAGGTGAAAAGCTTCAAAAAATAGAAAATGTCCATTCCTTTTTTTTTATTACAAATGTGAAAAATTTGTGTGAATATAGAGTACAACGGTAGACATAGATCAGTTTTACACTCGAATCAAAAGGTAGATATGGCCCGGTTTACACCTGAGTCAAATTGATAGATATGGATCCGTTTTACACTAGAGTCAAAAAGGTAGCCATATGCAAGACTTACATTAGAGTCAAAAAAAGTTGACATAGGCATACATGTGTCAAAATGTTAGATCTTTGTCCATTTTCTGATAGGGTGAAAAAAGTCGACACAGGTCACGCTTATAACAGTGTTAAAACGATAGTCATGCACCCTTGTGCAAATTAATTGAAACAACCGCTTTAGTTTCCTTTCTCTCACCATACGGTCAATTTTAGACCCACTGGAGTGACGGGGTGTAATCGATTTCCATTTTTTCCTCAGATTAGGTCATTTGCAGTGGTGTGCAGTAATATGAATCTATTTTCGGGGTGTATGATGAAATTGGCCTTGAAAAATATTTTGTCATTCGTAATTGCATCATATTTTTATCACGCTCAGTTACTATTGTCTCGACTGTCGATTAGTAGTCCTACAGCCATTGTCTGCGATGGACGTGACTCCAAGGAAGCATACGAAATTTGTAACACTGCACATCATGGCAAGCCTTACCAGTGAGCAAATCAAAGTACTATAGACTGGCCCGGAATCTCTCTTGAATTAAATTCAATCGTCAATTTGTGGTCAATCTGCAAGGAACGACTTTATGGAATGGACATACGAAGTACAAAAATGTGCACTGGGTCATGTTTCATTGGAAAATAAGTATATAATAACGGAATTATTCTTTTTGTTTCAATTAATTTGTAAAAGGGTATATGTTTGTTTTCTACAAGACTAAAAACGGTTCAATTTACACTAGAATGAAAAAAGATAAGCACGCTTCCGTTTGACATTTGAGTCTAAAAGCTAGATATAGACTCCGTTTATACCAGAGTAAATAAAAAGGTCGACTTTGGTCCGATTTCCACTAAAGTTAAAAAGCGATACATTGGTCGAGTTTATAATTTACTCGAATCTTCGAATATCCGTATTGGTAGGAATGCTCTTTGGGGGCTCAATCCTAACCCCCTTCTGCAGGAGATGCAATCAGCGTCTTCTAAGATCCATCGACACGGCAGTTAAAGTAAATAATAGATAAGAACTAATAATAACGATTATATAGAACATAATATTGCTAGTTGGTTCACTGGGTCGTACTTTACAATCTTTCTCGACAGAATCTATCTTAAATGTTAATAAGTCTACGATTTGTCCATGCTTCGAATTTCGCTGCCATATCTGGTCTGTCTGGTGTTCATGATATATATTTAGAGATTTTTGATAAAATCTAAAGAATAATGAGCAATATTATTGGTCCTGACCTGGCATCTCGACATCAGCCACTTTCCTATAGCTTTTTTAATTACTTTCCTTTATAGAAGAGGCATATATTATATAGTTCCCCTGTGCCTCTTCTATAAATATTTTCATGGTAATTTTTCGGATCAGCTCTTCGCTATGTTACCTAGACTTTATGAATTTAAGCGCAGTACTAGATTGGCGGCTAGGTCTCATCATTTTACAGTTGCAATGGCTCGATGTAACCGTAACTTCTCTGCTAACAGTCTCTTATCTTGTATTTCTCGCTTGTTGAATTCTCTTCCGGCTTCTTGCTTTCCAGTCAATTTTGCTCTTCAAAAATTTAAATGCAATGTCCGTCGTTATCAACCGTCTTCCTGATTACTCTTCTATTGTTCTCGCTCCTTCCTAAACTTTTCTGTTTTCTAATTCTTTACATACAGATTTCCTCTTTGGTAGCTGAATTTTATGAATTTAAGCGCAGTACTAGACTGGCAAAAAGGTTTCATTATTTTTTTTGAAATGACAAGATGTAATTGTAACTTCTATGTTAACAGTTTCTTCACTCGCATTTCTTACTTGTGGAACTCTTTCGGATACTTGCTTTCCAGTCATTTTTTTGACCCTCAAAATGTAAATGCAATGTCAATCGTTACCTTCTCTCTTCTTAATTACTTTCCTTTCATTGCTCTCTCTCTCTCTCTCTCTCTCTCTCTCTCTCTCTCTAATATTTTTCTCATATTTTCTCACACTCAGTAACTCCTTGTGCATTAGTAGCTTTATTTTCTTGCTTGGGGTGAAATGATTAAAAAACAAAACAAATTAAATATCTGTAAAAAAAAAAACAAGACAAAAAACAAAGCAAAAATTACTGGTGTTCTGGAAGCTCTTTGATATAATCATAAGTTCTGTTCATGGTAATTGTTATGATGAGTTTTCCCCTTTGGTATCTACGAATCTAAGTGCAGTACTAGGCTGGCTGCTAGGTCTCATCATATTACAGTTGCAATGGCTAGATGTAACCGTAAGTTCTATGCTAACAGTTCCTTCTCTCGTACGTATCTCCCGTCTTCTTGCTTGCCAGTCAACTTTGATCTTTAAAAAATTCTACCTGATTACTCTTCTATTGTTCTCGCCCTTCCTAAACTTTTCTGTTTTCTAATTCTTTCACATACAGATTTCCTCTTTGGTAGCTGAATTTTATGAATTTAAGCGCAGTACTAGACTGGCAAAATGTCTCATCATTTTTCATTTGAAATGATAAGATGTAACCGTAAGTTCTATGTTAACAGTTTCTTCACTCGCGCTTCTTATTTACCGAACTCTCTTCCGGCTCCTTACTTTCCAGCCAATTTTGATCTTCAAACATTTAAACGTAATACTAATCGTTTTCTACTGTCTTTTTTATTCCTCTTCCTTTCTTGTTCTCTCGCCTTAATAATAGTTTGTTTTTCTTATTCTGTCACCCTCAATAACTCCTTGTATCTTAGTGGCTTTATTGCCTTGCTCGGCAGAAATTATTCTTAAAAACGAAAACTTTTAAAATGATTTTCAGTTAATTAGCCAAATGAACATTTGGCTAACTTTGTAATTATTAGTTACCTCCCCGTGGAGACGCAATATGGAAGATTATCTCAAAGATTATTATTAATTTAGTGAACCTGATTCACACTAGGGTCCCTATATTAATAGCCTTGTACCATACTAAGCAAAATTTATCGTTAATAAGTTTACATCCAATAAGAAAATAATTATCGCGCGAAGAAGTATTTGGCAAACTATTTTTTTATCGTTTCTATTTTTTGCCGCCATTTTGGCATTTTTCTTTCATTCTGCTGAATGTTGATTATGAAAAAAAGAAAATGATTTATTTATTTTTCTCGTCTTTCATCTCGCTGTTAATGTTTTCATGACAGCTTTTACTGAACGATTTCTGTTTGTTTAAGAACGAATTTTTCAGATTATTTTTTCTTTGTGATTGCTTCGAATAACTTGACCTTTCCGATTCTCCTGTTTGTTTTCTTGCTTAGCTAACACGTATTTGGCTTCACAAAAGATGCGATCTTTTTCCTCACCTCCATTCACACAACTATATATATATATATATGTGTGTGTGTATGTCTGTGTGTCATTTTTGTTATTCACTTTCTCATTTTTCTAAATGTTGTTTGTATATTGTCACTGATTTCACAGCATAAACTAGATTTCTTTCTTTCCTCCAACCTTCCCCTCAACCGACACTGTTTTCTTCGACGACCACCTTAAAAACCACGCATACAATGTCATTTAATGAACGCGGGGATCAGCTTGGATTTTAGAACCACACCGGCCCTGACTGGCCCCAGGCGAAAACCCTTTTGCTAAACATCGACACGGAACGTCATTTGGCAGCCATGTTGAATAGAAATTAATACGCGTTTGCCGGAAGCCACGAATGTTAGGATTCGGCCATTTTGTGTTCGGATCGCCTGCAGCGTTTGTTTTTCTCTTCTGGATTCAGTTTTCTTCTTTTTTTGGTCTTGTTGTCTGCTTCAATTTCATTTCTTTCAGAGAAGTGTTTCCGTATAATTTTTGCCTCGTTTTCGCCTTTGTTTTTCTTTTACCTTTCTACCTCTTGTTTGATAACTCTTCTTTCCTGTGATTCACGGATACTCACCAGACCAACAATCTCGCTAGCGTCATTCAATCTTCTTTTCGCAAAAGTAATTCGACTTCTCTCGATTCTGCCTGCGTTCTGCTCGCTAATTGGTTTTTCTTCCTTTTTATCTGAAACCTTCCATTTTTTTTTTTACAATTTCTTTCTTATTTACCTTTTTCTTTTTTTCTTTCGTTTTCTTTCTTTATTTTTCTTATTATTTTGCTTTTTTCTTTTTTTTTCTTCTTTTTTATTCTCTTTTTTTTCTTTCTTTTTTTACCTTTTTTTATTAGATTTTTCTTCTTTCTTTCTTATTTATGTTATTCATTTTCTTTCTTCCTTTCTTCCTTTCTCATTTTCTTTTTCTTTGATGCTTCTTTTTTTCTTTCCGTCTTATCCACCATTTTCTCTTTTCTTTCCTTCTTACTTTCTCCTTTATCTTTCTTTCTTTTTCTTATTTAACTTTTCTTTCTTATTTACTTTTCTTTATTCTTTTTCTTCCTTTTGTTCTTTCTACCTTTTTCTTTTTTTATTTTACTTCTTTCGTTTTTTGTTTGTTTCTTTCTTTTTTACGTTTACTTTTCTTTCTTTCTGTCTTTCTTTCTTTCTTTCTTTCTTTCTTTCTTTACACTATCAATTCTTATTGTTTCTTTCTTTTGCATTTACCTAATGTATTTACTTCTGACTTTCTTCCCCTTGTCTTCTTTCTTTTTTTATTTCCTTCTTATTTACCGTTTACTTTACTTTCTTTCTTTCTTCCTTTCCGCTTAACCCTTTCTTTCTTTCTTTCTTTCTTTCTTTCTTTTTTTTTCAGCTTATTTTTTATTTTTCTTTCTTTTTTTTTTACATTATCATTTCTTATTCTTTTCTTCCTTTTACATTTTTTTTTTTTTACTTTCTTTTTCTTTCTTTGCCTTGTCTTCTTTCTTTTTTCTTTGTTTCTTTCTTTCTTTTTAACGTTTACTTTTCTTTCTTTCTTTCTTTCTTTCCGCTTAACCATTTCTTTCTTTATTTATTTCTTTACACTATCAGTTCTTATTCTTTCTTTCTTTTGGATTTACGTAATGTATCTACTTCTGACTTTCTTTCCCTTGTCTTCTTTCTTTTTTCTTTATTTTCTTCTTTCTTACTTACCGTTTTTTTTTTTTTTTTTTCTTTCTTTCTTTCTTTCTTTCTTTCTTTCTTTACACTATCAACTATTATTCTTTCTTTCTTTTGCATTTACCTTATCTATTTACTTCTTACTTTCTTTGCTTGTCTTCTTTCTTTCTTTCTTTCTTTGTTTCTTTTTTCTTTTTTCTTAATCATTTCTTTCTTTCTTTATCCTATCAACTATTATTCTTTCTTTCTTTTACATTTACCTAATGTATTTATTTCTGATTTTCTTTCTCTTGTCTATTCTTTTTCTTTTTTTCTGTTTGCATTTTTTCTTTCTTTCTTTCTTTCTTTCTTTTTTATTTTCTTTATCCTTCATTTCCTTTCTTTTTGCCGCTTTCTCTTTTTTTCATTCTTTTTCTTTGACTTCATTCTTTTCCTTTCTTCTACAATCAGTCTTTCGTCTTTCTCTATTTCTTTTTTCATTTCTTTTTCTTTCTCCTTTTTTATCTCTTCTTTTCATTTATTTGCATTCTTTCTTCTTTGATAGATTATTTCTTCTTTTATTGCTTTCATTTTGTGTTTCTTCTTTTTTCTTTCTTTTTTACACTCTTTCTTTGTTTCTTTCATTCGTTACATATTTCTGTATTCCTTCTTTCCGTCTACCTTTTTCCCTTTCTTCATTTATACTTGCTTTTTTTTTCTACCATCTTTTTTTTAGTTTTCGTTTCTTCTTTTTTTTCTACGTTCATTTTTTTCTTTTTTCTTACATTCTTTTACTTTAAATTCTCTGAGCTTCTTCATCACATTTTATTTTCCGATTTGCTCATTTCATTCTTCATTCCTTTTTTCTTTATTTCTTTATTTCTCTTCTTCATTTCTTTTTTCTTTATTCCTTTTTTCTTCATTCAATTTTCTTCATTTCTTTTTTCATTCCTTTTTTCATTCCTTTTTTCTTCGTTCCTTTTTCATCATTTCTTTTTCTTCATTCATTTTTCCTTCATTCAATTTTCTTCATTTCTTTTTTTTTCGTTCCTTTTCTCTTCACTCCTTTTTTCTTCATTTCTTTTCTATTCGTTCCTTTTTTTCATTCCTTTTTTCTTCATTCTTTTTTCTTTATTCTTTTTTCTTTATTTGTTTTTTCCTCATTTCTTTTTCTTCATTCATTTTTTCTTCATTCAATTTTCTTCTTTTTTTCGTTCCTTTTTTCATGTCTATTTTCTTCATTCCTTTTTTATTCCTTTTTTCTTCATTCGATTTTACTTCATTTCTTTTATCTTCCTTCTTTTTTATATTTGTTCTGACGTTTTTGTCTTTTTTCCTTTTCAACAGAATCAATGTATGAATTATGTCCGGAAACTATCCAGCAATCTTGAATATTGCAAAAACCCCTTACGCAGCCTTCATATAACCAATAAAACTAGAAGTTATAGGAAGCGACATGAAAGCATCATACCCAGGTGAAAGCTTCCCATACTTGTTGTTCTTGAGTTTTGCATGTTTTTTCCTGTTATCCGACGTCTTTCTTGAGAATTAGAACCTAAAATGAATCCATCCTAACACACTATTCATCCCAAAGGTTTTTTTTTTTCTCAGTATTCCAATTTATTGCCACATTAGGGATTGGACCCATGAAAAGTCGGTCAATTGTATTCTCAGCATCCTTCTGTAGAACCACATTTATTGCTTCAAATCTCTTATTCATCTTTGTAACGACTGTCTAACATTCACTGCCATAAAGGTGGTTTGATATCACGTAGTCTTTTCTTTGTTTCTAACGAAATTCTTCTGTTTCTTAATACTTTGCTTAGCTTTTGGAAGGCACCTTTGGCCATCCTAATAAGTTTTTGGATCTCAGTGGCTATGCGGAGATTTTCCAATATTCGCTGCCATATAGGAGGACAGATATCACGTAACAGTTCAGTAGTCTTTTCTTTGTTTCTAACGAAATTTTTCTGTTTTTTAATACTTTGCTTAGCTTTTGGAAGGCATCTTTCGCTTATACCAGTTTATTGCTACACCAGGGATTGAACCTACGAAAAGGAAAAAATCGGTCCATTGTATTGTGAACATCCTTCTGTAGAACCACATTTGTTGCTTCAAGTCTCTTATTCATCTTTTCTTTGTTTCTAAAGAAATTTTCCTGTTTCTTCATATTTTGCTTAGCTTTTGGAAGGCATCGTTCGCTATTCCAATGCACCTTCCGATTTCAGTGTCGCACTTTCCGTCCTCTGTTAAAACACTTCCAAGATATTTCAAGTTTTATACTTGCTTGATTTTGGTATTCTCAATTTGTAATTTGCATGTTGGGCTGTCCCTTTTTGTAACAACCATACAGCCTGTCTTCTTTCAATTGATGTTTAGTCCTTTCTTCTGGCTTTCCTCCACTGCCCTCTTTTGGAGTTCTTGTTTCCTTTCTCTGTCTTCTATCATGTGACATGTTCTTATGCTATTAATGAATCCTGGTAGGACTTCTAATTCTCTTAGAATTGCCTCGATGTATAGGTTGAATAAGTCCGGTGAGAAGACACATCCTTGTCTTACACCTCATTCTATTTTTTCATATTTACTGAGTACTACCATTAATAAACCAATTATACCTTTTATATCAGCTTAACTACATGCTTTAAAACAGCGTTTCTCAATTATTTTTTATTCCATCACCCTAAACTTATGAACCTACACCCTTGTGTAAATTAACTGAAACAAAACGAATAATTCCGTTATTATTTACTTTTTTTAGTATTTTGCCAATGAAACATGACCCAGGGTACATGTTAGTAATTCGTATGTCCATTCCACGAAATCGTTCCTTGCAGATTGACCCCAGGTTCTCGATTGAACAGAGTTTCCGGGCCAGTCTATAGCACTTTGATTTGCTCAATGCTAAGGCTTGCCAGTGTGTTCGTATAGCATTACAAAACTCAAGCGGTTGTTTCAATTAATTTACACAAGGATGTAAAAGATTCATGTCCTAACTGCCTTTAATCACGTCATCATAATCATTAGAAAAATTGAAAATACAACGCAGATAAAGCAACATAGACCCTTTTGCAAATTAATTCAAACGAATAATTCCGTTATTATTTACCTTTATTCGTTTTTTCCAATGAAACACGACCCAGTTCACATGTTAGTACTTCGTATGTCCATTCTACGAAGTCGTTCCTTGCAGATTAACCATATTCTCGATTGGATTTAAATCAGCAGAGTTTCCGGGCCAGTCTATAGTACTTTGATTTGCTCAAAGATAAAGATTGCCAGTGTGTCCATGCAGTGTTACAAATTTTCGTAAGCTTCTTTGGAGTAATGTCTAAGGCGGGCAATGGCCGTAGGACATCTAATCAACAGCCGAGACAATAGTGTCTGGCTGTGATGAATCACGGATGACGCAATATTTTTCAAACAAATTTCATCATCCACCCCGAAAATAGATTCATATTATTGCCCACCATAGCAAATGACCTGATATGAGTAAAAATAGAAATCGATTACACCCTGTCACTCCAGTGGGTCTAAAACTGACCGTATGGTGAAAAAAAGGAAACTAAAGCGGTTGTTTCAATTAATTTACACAAGGTTGTATACTGTTTACGAATTGCGTTTAGGAATTAACCTCTACGGCTATAAAATCTACATATTCAGGCAAACAAAAAAGCCTCCTCGATAATGGCTGGATGACTGGCTAAGAGCACTCGGATCTAGTGGTTGTTTGGATAGTACTTGCAGACTCTATATCCAAAGGGTGGTGTGGGGTGGGAAGGTTCACTTGTGCACATGCAAGAAAAATATTAATGAAAAGTTTCAGTAATGTTGTCAGTAATCTTTAATTAAATATAATATATATATATATATATATATATATATATATATATATATATATATATATATTACGATAAACGTGCAATCAATTTACAAATACATGAATTATTCACACAAAAACTAATGCAAAGGTTAATGATTTAAATGGTGAGACATCCATCATCGCAAACAATTCAAATAATATACAAAAACCTCCGAATCCGTTATGAATGAAATGACCCTTGTTTATATAAATTTCTGCCGTATTAGTTCTTATTTTTTACTACAAGCTTTCGTCTGTTCCTATATATATATATAATGTATTATAAAATCAATGAAACCTAATTATATGTATATATATATATATATATATATAATGTATTATCAAATTAATGAAAAAAAAATATATATATAATTTATAATAAAATTAATGAAACCTATATATATATATATATATATATATATATATATAATGTATTATAAAATTAATGACACCGATATATAATGTATTATATAATTAATGAAAAATATATATATATATATATATATATATATATATATATATATATATATATATATATATATATATATATATTCTATCTATATACCTTTCGGCTGACTGTAACATCCGACGTTTTTTTTTTTTTTGTAGCTTTCCCAGTTAAATCTTTAATTCAGACACGAACTCAGTCTATAAGTTAAATAAGACTGACGAAATTTTATTCCCTTATATGAAGTTTATTTTGCATTTTGTTGTGTATTAATTTTTTTCTCTGTAATAATAAATACATTGAGCTCTTTTTTTTGTGGATCAATTTTAATATTTTATATCACTAGGATCCATTAGGATTTATATACCAACGGATTTATTACCTTTAATATATATATATATATATATATATATATATATATATATATATTTATATATTTAAATTTTTGAACTCATGGATATTGACCGGCAAAAGAGACGAACGACAACGGCGAAAAGCGTCAGCAAATATTCCTGTGGTTATGTCCCGAGATTTTCTTCGTTGCACAATATGCGGACTTGTATGCAGGTCACTAGAGGGAATGAAGTTTTAAATACGACACAAACATAAATGCTGAAATGAGGTTGTCGGATCCATATACGTCGAAATCGACGAGATAATCCATCATATATATATATATATATATATATATATATATATATATATATATATATATAAATGGCACAATACAACTGATTTGCTTTAAAGACATGTTTTTTGATGATGTTTTTTAATCTATCACCATTATCAAGGATGTCTTTTTGACAATGTTTTTTTAATCTATTAGCCATTACCAATGATGTTTTTGAAGTTTTTTAGGGTTTTTTTTTTTTATCTATAAACCATTATCAATGATGTGTTTCGATGATTTTATGGTG